ATAAAAGTAAGTGGTGTGATGATTAGATTTTGAAAATTTGGAATTTAAAATTCATGGAAGTATTTTAGAAATTTCTGAGATAATTATGAGGATTTTATGAGAGTCTTAAATATTATTATAGAAGTTAATTATAAACAAAAATTCAAAAATTAGAAGCAGGTATAAGCGAAATTCAAAAATTCAAAGCAGATATATCAGATATCATAGGGGTAGTGCATTGGAAATTCAAAAATTCAAAAAAGTTTTATTCGAAGTAGATATATCAAATATCATGGGAGTATTGCATTAGAAATTCAAGGTTTTGAAATTTTTTGAGATAATTATTAAATGAGTTTGAAATGGAATTAATTAGTAAACAACATTCAAAATTTGAAGTAGATATGTTGGATATCATGGGAGTCTTTAGATATTCATGGAAGTTAATTATTAAGCAAATATTTGGAAGTTCGAAGCTGATATATGGATATCATGGGAGTACTGCGCAGGAAATTTAAGATTTTACAAAAATTGGAAAATGTAAACCATATGACATGTGTCTCTTGTGGAATACTATAGAATTCTCTAGTCACAGAAATGCCACGTGTCACGTGTCGTGCTATTAACTTGGCAGTGACTCTGTTATTATATAAGTAATAGAGATAATAGATAATATTACTTTGGGCATCTTTTGTTATAAGTTATTGTCTTGGGCATCATAATTATGTTTAATACTTTTCAAAATATCTCCTGATTGTTTGGTTTCATAACTAATTTTAATATTTACTTTCAATGGATTTATACATATATTTCATATTCGTCCATATGACTCTTTGTCATATATGACATTTGTATCTCCTCAATTATTGTTCAATAGCCAAGGCCAAAAATTACTGCATTTCATTATTAATTCCACTAATACAACGTAATCATGTTCTTTTCATTCTTATAAACATGTTCTTTTTTTTCAATAGCATGAAATTAATTTCTCCAAATATTATCTTGAGAACTATAGTAAAAATCTTTCAAATAAACCTCTTTTGTGCCGTTTGATGTTTAAACAATTAGCTTTTAGGGCTTTGATATTTGTCACCTTGTGATTATCAAAATGCCATAGATTTTTCTTGTCATGTCATTTATAGGAACTTGTAGTGTTTTTTTTTTTTATATTAAACAGAAGAACCATTACAAAAGTGATATGACTTCTATTATTTAATTACAAAATTAAGAGTATTATGGCTTCTAGCCATTCAATAAAGTAAAATTAAAATAATACTGTAATGAAATAAATTTCAAATTCATAATCATATATAAATAATAAATTAATCTAAATATAAATATATAATATTGTGATAGATATAAAAACAATATAATATAAACCAGATAGATATATGTGAACAAACAATAGAACAAGAAGTATTGAAAAATAAATAAAACAAATAACACAATATCACAATGAGGAGATAACAAAATTAAAATGTATAGAAAGAATAAATTAATAATAACATAAAAGAACAACATAATATATAGCAAATGTATATAAATTAAAATTGCACATGATAATAGGATAAAAAGAATAATTGAGTAAGGAAAAATTAATAGAGAGTAGTATCATATATTATCGGAATTTATTAATTTATAAAAGGTTTATAACTCAAATATTCAAAGTAAATTTGTGCTGATAACGTGTTGTAAAGTAAAGAAAATATAAGGGACTGAGATGAGAGAGATGGAGAAAAAATATAAGAGAGGATTGGTGGAAGAATTAGGAATATGGAGTAATCTTTTATTCATTTCAAGCTTACAATCACTTGATACATACCCACTATTTATAGCCACAAGTCCTTAAATTTTTTTCAATAGTTATGACAAGGAATAAATCTACATAATTGTAGGATATATAACATGGACATCTACACTTAATATTGCAATATTTATAACAACATTAATTTTATTCTTAAATTAATTATAAATTGTAAGAGACTATAATAGCCTTGTTATCAATAAAACCCTTATTATTTGGAGGGAAGAGAAGACATTTTGGTTTGAAAAATGCTAATCCCAGGATTAAATTCTTAATACCAACTCGCCTATGGTATTATCTAATATCATTTACATGGATTTACTCAATTTTAAATAACAAGTAACTCATTATACTAAACACTTTTTAATTTGATTTTTCAATCTCAATTCTAATTCCTACCTCTCATTGTTTCGTATCAAATGTCGCCATCATATTTAATTTTTAAAACAACTATAATCATTACAAAAAATCATGATTCAAGCATAATAATTTTAGGAGTTAAATAACAAAATTTCTCATATATACTTATCTCTATTATGTAAATTACTATTGAAAAGTTACTTTTGAGTGATCTTATCAGCGATTCCAAACCATCCCTTAGCACCCAAAGAAAACTTTATATAAAGTTGAAAAAAATTAGATGTGCGATTTTGCTTATAAATTAATTACCATTACCATTTTCTGGGCTCTCAGTTGCCTCTCTCGTGGACTTGGCTTCTCCTCTCTACCCTTCCCATCCACTTCTCATTTCTCTCTACTTCTCACGACAGTACCAGAGAGAGTGAGACCGAGGGAGCGAAGCGAGAGCGCAGAGGAGAAGTGCGAAAGTCGAAGGAGGGAGTATTTGCCACATGCAAACCGATCTTTGAGCTAAAGTAAGTCTCCTACTCCTTTCCCCATCACCGTTTTCTTCGATCATAGCGTCTTGAAGGATTGATGGCGGTTGCAATCTGATATGGGTGAGGAAAAGGAATAGCGAGTGAGTAGTATAATAGCATCCAGATGTATATCAAAGCCTATAATTATGATTTTTGATGTTGCAAGGGATTAGATACTCCCATGTGTTGGAGTCCTACTGGTTTGAGTCTTAAATCTGGAAATTATCAGACTTCAAGGTGAAGCTTTGGGTTCCTCTAAATATAAGGCTAGTGGAAAACGAAATTGCCGAGTAGCATGTAAAATCAGTGATCTACGGTTGTTTTTTATGCTTATCATGTGACTGCATGTTGATTATTTTCCATGGGATTATGGGTACCGAAACAGGGTTATTGTATGCTCAAATCTGAAACTTATATGCAAGATTTCGAAACTTAACTGATTCTCGGAGTTTGGGCGTGTGTGTGGGTGACAAACAGTTTTTGTGTGACTCTCAACTCTGGAAAATTTTCCAGAATTAAAGCCATGGCTGCACGTTTTATAAAGGGGGCTGTCAAAGCTGTTTGAAGTGTCAAAATATATTTGTTAATTATATGTTAATGGGATGGGTGTGTGGTAGAGCCATGGGGTTCATATTTTTGGACCGGCATATGTACATGGCTTAGTGTTTGATACTGTTGAAAACTTAACGAGTACTTAGATTGCTTAGATATGCTAAACCCTTCCGTTGTGATGCCTAAATATTGATTAAATTGATGTTCTTGAATCTGGAAGTTGAGAGCTGAAAATACCCATTGTTCTGGTGTTTGATCATGTGCCAAAAATGTGTTTAAGTGAAAACTAAAGCATAATAATCATTTAAGGGTCTCAAGGTGCTGCATAGTTGAGGTTGTTTTCTATTTACTGAGTTTTGTTTGCGAATGCAAATGAATGAACTTGATATGCATATTTGAATGTGCACGCTTATCATGTTCTGGTTAAAGATGATTTTTGAAACTGAATAAGGCATGCAGAACTTGCTGGTTAATGCTGTCAAACTGGAAACCATGCTTAGAGAATCTGAAATGATGATTCCAATGTGATTCTTGAAACTAAAAAGTGGTCTGGACCTTGTTGGTTAATGTTTTAAAGTGCTGAATCATTATGAAAAATCTTTAAATCATGTCTGGTGACTGTAAAATGAAGTTTAGGAATGTTAGGATTGGTAAATACGGACTCTTTTCTTCGCCACTGTATGGACAAATTTGTTTTGATTAAAGGGGATGAATTTTGCTCTGGTTAATGGCTCTGATAAACCTCAAAGGGTAATGAGATGTCTAACTTGAAATCTGGAAAAATTTCCAGAATACGGCATTAAATGGTCTCTCATATGGGGAAGTTGTCAAATGCTTAAATGAGATAACAATGAAGTTATATCGTTGTTATATTATTAGATGAATCAAACGAGCCCCTTCAATTGCTAAATTATAGGTAACGAAATGTTATATTATGTACATGTTCCTTGTTGCCGTTATGGCTTTGATTTTTCTAGATGATTATTGTAGAAGGCTGAAGTGTTTGGTGCACATATTTCTTGGATTAATATTCTAGATTTTAAATGAGAATTAAGACTCCACATGCTACTAGAGATGGTACTTCTAATGCTGGAAATCTCCAGATTATAGGATGAAGGCAATTGTAAAACACTTGAATGTTAGAAAACTAGTAGTGTTTTGAATGATTAGAGAATACTTGAAGATTCTAACGAAATGATGCATTTTGTTGTATGGTGGAGGTTGTTTGACTTCTTGTTATGGATATTGCATAGAATTGTTTGAATGTAATGAATGTAGGATATATATGCATATGTGTGTGCCTGTGACGCAATGAGCATGATGAAATATGGTTGAAACTAAAGATGCAATAAACCTACTATTTAATGCCTCTTGGTATTAAATAATTATTAAGTATCCGAAACTGTTTTAAAGTTTCAAATTGATGAATAACTTGGTGCCCATAAAGCCGGAAACTTTGGAATTTGAAGTTGATTTACAGCTTATTAAGTAGAGTTTCAAAGAACTATATAATGAATTTGAATGGCATATACATGTGTTGCTGGCTGCTACTATTTCTATATATGTTTTGTAATTTTGGAGGCTTTAAGTCTCTGCAGGGATGCTGCTTGATACTCTAAAGAAGTATTAGATTGTTAAGCATGCCGAGATTTTATTATGATGACCAAAATTATTTGTTATTTGCGGGAAAATTTCCAGATTGGATTAATGGTACTACTTGAAATTATTAAATGATTTGGTTAATGTTTGAGAAGCCGAAAGCTAGCTTGAATCTTACTCCTTTAATCATAATGAATTAGGAAGTTAAGAGGAACATAAGGAAAAAAGGGGAGGCTGTAGATTTCCTCAGAATATGAAGATAAAATATAAAATTTTTGCTCAAGATGACCAACCTTATGAGTTGGGGGTTTAGTAATATATAATGATGTTATATCTGGGGTGTGAATGAGTTGGTTAATTCCTAAGTAGAGTACGTACCTGGTATTTGGATGTGTAATTTACAAGTTATGATTTATTAGAGCTGGCAGAGTTTTTGAAAGTAAGACTTGTGCAGCTCTAATAAATAGAAATTGCTAAATCATTGGATTTGGTTCAAATCTCGGTCTTAATTTGTTTAATTAAATTCCAGGAGCTAAAGATGTGAGTCTTCATCTATAGAAGAAGCCAGTAAATAAGAAATTATAAGTTTTGTTAAAATTTTCAGAAAATTCCCTTCTTAAAAAGAAGGGGGTACTGAGTTGTATAAGAGGTTTAAAAAATTCACCTTTTTAGTGTACGGTTTTGACCATTGATAATAAAACGGCTTTTATCTAGGTCCTTAAAGTAAGGTGGTGTTACACAAAAGCATATATGGGGAAGGCAGCTATAAGGCATTGGATGCTCTATCCCACAAGACAAAATAGGAAACAAGATAACCGAAAAATCTAAGAGATATTGGTAATATAATATTTTCTAATGATGGTGATGATATGATGACAGAACAGTAAAGGCACATTTATCGACCCATATTAGAAAAGCTCTAGAACTTTCCATCAAATAGCATGTCTACCCTTTTTAAACTCTTGACAGGTAGTGGGAGTGTCTCTAGCGGCCTATAATGGTTTGTCAACAGTCTAACAACCCTAACAATAATTCTCGTTCCTATTATATATTCTGTGTCATATCAAAGTTGTACTTAATCATTCCCGTTGTGCAAACAATAGAATCTCTCTTATATGGCTGTGCATGATTTTCTTAAAGGACCATGTCTTCAATATGGCGTGAAATAGAAGGGCTTTTCTGCGTTTTAATTTTCATAGGAGACTATAAAGAGTAAGTGGTTGTCCATTGAAAGATTTTGTTCATAATTTATTTCTTTCAATCGATGTTATAATTGACTATGGCTGGCTTGGCAAGGTTATTTTTTATTGCACACTCTGCTTTCTTTTGATACCTGCTCATGTTGGGAAATAATTTGATACCAATCAAGCGTATCTAAACTCTTAAAATTTTCAGTCCTATTAGATTTAGTTACTGGCTGGGCTGTTTGCATGAAGCAGTGTGCTCACTGGATTTCATAAAAAAATATGTTTGTGTATGTCCATGCAATCCTCATATTCATGAATATTGTTGAAGTCACTGGAAATTCACTCACTTGAATTTGAATATGCATAAATAATGTAGTTTTATTGGCTATGTTCTTGAAAAGTGAGTCATTGATTTGCTTCGTGCAAAAAAGTGTCCTTCACTGAGTGCTGTATTGTAGCTCTAGATGTTTTTAGAAAGTAGTGAGCAAAAGGTTGAGGAGAAAAGCAAGGTAAGAGATCAAACAAATTCTACGTTTGTTAGATTCAGTACTCTTTTATGAAGGTGCTTTTCTATTAAATATTTTATGGATGGCCTTAATGAGGGTTTATAACTTGGAAGAGTTTTTTTTTTTTTTGGCTGCTTGTATGTTGGCTTTAGTAGTTAATCATTCCTTGGTAGCTTTGTGCTCTTCTGTTCGGATGTTTAGTTATGCTGAACTTCTGCATCCTATATGCCTGCATATTGAGTTGCTTAGTTTTGTTTTGTTTTTTTTTTTAATTAACTTTGTATTATTTACATTGATCATGTAAGCAATTGGCTTTTTAAGTTTTCTCCCTTTCGATTTCTACTGGTTTTACACCAACTGGTATCCAAGTATGTTAGTCAATGCTCCAACTGGATGATCATTTACTTTGATTTTTTTTTTAATTAATTAATTAATTTTTTGGGGTTATGCTGAACTTCTGCTGCCTATGTGCCTGGATATAGTATTTCCCGGTCATTTTCCATTGTTGAGATTGGTTGTAGAGGCGCATGGTTTGTTTTCAGATATTTGTCGTTTTTGTCTCCTGGTTCCACTCTGGTGTGTGTAACTTGTTTTCCATTACCTGTTTATACAACCACGATGATAATCTTCCCTTTTCTTTGTGTGCAGTAGAAGTAACTATTTCCCGATCTACTGAGACACTGAATTCATGATACCTTTTAGCATGTTACTCCTTACCTTGATCTAGAAGAGACGGAACAAAATGTAATGAACAAATAATACAACTATAGCAATTACAACAACAACAAGCCTTATCCACTAAATGGGTTAGCTACATGGATATAAGGCTAGACTACAATTTCACTTCTGAATTCCAATCATAATAAAAGTCTCTCCTTTTTCTTTTCTTTATCCCTATTTCTGACAAACTCCTGCACAATTAAAGAAGTAAATTCTCAATCAGCCCTTGTCTTCTTTGATAATTGCTGCTCTTCTTGTATAGGCATCAAAAGTGGTGGGGAGTTTGACTGAGAGGTTGCAGACATTAAAGCTTTTCACATACAGATAAGAAATTGCAGATGTACAAAAATCTGCCTATCGAATCCTTGCATACTGCTATGATTGATAGAGCATCATGAAACACATTTCTAGCTGGAAAAAAAGAGTGCTATCTGTTAATGAGTAAGCAACCCATAAACTATCCCACGCTAATAACAGTTTCGATCCTGGAGTGCTTTCTTCTTCAATAAAGGGAAAGTAGGATGAAAGGGTTAACTTTGGGAAGGAGGAAGGCAGGATGAAATGGGATGTTGTGGTCAAGGGGAAAGTAGGCTGAAAGGAAATTTTCATTTTTTTTTTGTTGCCTTTTGTTTTGTTTGTTTTATCCCTCCCCCCCTCTCCTGTAGGGAGGGAAACCACCTGCATGTGCCATCAGGTGTTGTTTGGAGAGTAATGTTATTGTGTGAATAATTTTTTGTCTGTTTTCAATACAACCACTTGGAGGTACCATTTTTTTGTTAGAGTTGAATTTTACCATGGGGATTGTGGTAGTATGGCTTTGGCATTATTGGCAAGCATTTCAGTATTGGTTTTTTGACTTTGCTATCTACAAAATCTGCCATGTTATCGTTCTACTTCTTTACTATGTTTGATGTTTTGTCTTTTGGGTTTGAATATTAGATGTCTTCTCAAGGAGATAAATATTCTGTTATATGGTTTTACAGTCTTTCCAGCATAGAAGCTTTTGGATGCCACGGGATGCAGGTTGCCTAGCTGACGAAAATATGGGATATGAGAATTCTTCCAGAATTGAACTAAAGCGTGGTCATCAGTGGTTTTTGGAAACAGGTGAACCAGAAATTATCAACAATAAGAAGCAAGCTGTAGAAGCTGTTGGTGGCAGGCCAGTTTCAGGGGTTTCACATTTGGATGTATCTCCCTGGGACACCAATTTTGGGTTTCACTCAGTTACGGGTCAATTTTCTGACCGCCTCTTTGGATCTGAGCCGGTAAGGACTTTCAATTTGGCTGGTAAGAACATGCCATCAATTGGAAGTGGAAATCTGAATATGGGAAGGAAGGATTTTGAGAACAATTATGGAAATGATCCATCCGTGGGGCTGTCAATATCTCATGCCATTGATGACCCTTCATCTTGTCTCAATTTTGGTGGCGTCAGAAAAGTTAAAGTTAATCAAGTTAGAGATGCTAACAATTGCATGTCTGCATCTATGGGGCACTCCTATAGTAGGGCAGATGATAGTGCGATTTCAATGGTTGCTGGTTACGGTAAGAATGCTGGGAATATATCATTAGGTCAGACTTACAACAACGTAAATGAGAATGTTGTCTCTGCGGGTACTGCTATGACTAAGGCCGATGACAATCTTCGTTCAATGGGTCATGCTTTCAATAAAGGGGATGGAAGTTTTATGCTGATGGGCCACAGTTATGGCAAGGGAGATGAAAGCGCCTTATCAATGGGTCAGCCCTTTGACAGGGGAGATGGAAATTTCATATCAATAGGTCAGTCATATGACAAGGAGGATGGCAATTTGATATCACTGGGCAACTCATATAACAAGGGGCATGATAGCTTTATGTCAATGGGCCCAACCTACAGTAAATCAGGAGAAAATTTCATTTCAGTTGCACCTTCCTATGACAAGGGAACTGATCATATCGTGTCTGTGGGTCCGACATATGACAAGGTGGATTCAAACCTGGCATCAACAAACTCTTCATATGATAAAGGAGTTTCCAACTCTTTACCTATGGGTCACAACTTCAATAAGAATGAGGGTTGTACCATATCTTTTGGAGGCTTTAATGATGATCCAGACCCAAATCCCTCTGCTGGGATCATTAGTGGCTATGATTTGTTGATGGGCAACCAGAACTCTGCTCATGGTTTGGATGGCCAGAAAGATCTAGTCGAGTCAAACTCTGAACCAGTTGTAAATAGCAATCCAAAATCTAATTCTAAAACTGATAATGTCCTTAAGAGTAAGGAGCCGAAGGCAAGGAGGGTTCCTTCTAATAACTTCCCTTCAAATGTCAAAAGTCTGCTGTCAACTGGAATTTTTGATGGTGTTCCTGTAAAGTATGTTTCTTGGTCACGGGAGGTAAAAAGTCTTTGTTTTTATCTTGCTTCATTTCTCTGCTGCTGCTGTTTCTGTAAATTATGGCCCTCTGTCAAGCATTTCTACTCTAAATGTGTTTCATATTCTGCATCGTAGAAACATCTGAAAGGAGTCATAAAAGGGACTGGGTATTTGTGCTCCTGTAATGAATGCAAGGAGTCCAAGGTTAGCTTCTAAAGATCACGTTTATGTTTACATCACATGATTTAAATAATGTAGTAATAACAAATCGGTTAATGTAATCCAGGCTCTTAACGCATATGAGTTTGAGCGTCATGCGGGTGCCAAGACCAAACACCCAAACAATCACATTTACTTTGAGAATGGGAAAACCATCTATGCTGCTGTTCAAGAGCTGAAGAACACACCTCAGGAGATGCTTTTTGATGCAATTCAAACTGTTACTGGATCTACCATCAACCAAAAGAATTTCCGAGTCTGGAAAGGTACTGAGATTTTTACTTTACTTTTGGGTTTAGAACACTATGATGAACTCCATATTCTTGCTCAAGTTTTGTTTGCACGTTCCTATTGCTTTTTCTTTTATCTGGCTTGTACTTTTACCAGCATCATACCAAGCTGCTACCCGGGAACTTCAGCGTATATATGGAAAAGATGAAGTGGTCATCCCAACTTAAACTTGGTTTCTGCTTCTCAAGAAATTCAGGACGATGGTAGTTAAGTGATATGTTCATGGTGCATAGAAACTTAGCGGTTATTTGGACTATGTCTGCATGAAAATATCAAGTTTAAGCGGATGCATTCTTGTAGGATCTTACTTTCTATTTACGGTAATGAAGATCTTCTTTAAGGTTTTTGTTTCATTCGTGTCCTTCATCTGTAGATATCTTGTTGCTTTCCTTGCCACATCGCCTGATATAATTTGCCTGAACAAGTTTTAGGTTCTTAGAGGAGTTTTGAAACTTTCGATCAGCCCCTCGTAACTATAATTTTCTATTTTCAACAAAAATGATATACTGAAGAGTCAAATCAGTGAGTTCTAATAAGTGAGTTCTAATGGGCTAATCGTTCTATTTCAGAACAATTCAGAATACATGTAATTATAATTTTGCGCCTTTTCGCTAGTTTTGGTTAACAATTCGCTCATACTTGCCGGTACAACTTTAGCTGCAAACATTATCATATGTTTATTCAATTAGACATGTGTCATGAAGTTTTGGAAATCCATTATATTTTTGTTGTTATCAATGGGCAGTAAAAGTTTGGTAACATGTTTTCTGAATTGTGCGGTTATTTTTAGTTGATTTTATATTTTACATTAATACATTATACATATTAATTTTAAATGTCTCAATCAATTTCTCAATATGTGGGTGAGTGTGAAGAAGGAAAATTTTAATGAACCAGATTTAAAAACTAAAAAAAGTTGGGTTATAAAATTTTGATAAAAAGAACATGTAAGATAAAAGAGTGAGCGAAATTAGTAAAAAGTTTTTAACTCAATTTTTTAAATTTTTTCAGAAGAGCTCATTAAAATTTTAAAGAAAATTTCACTTAACCTTTTTTAAAAAGAGTTCATTAATATTTTAAGAAAATTTCACTTAACCCTATCTAAATGTCCACAAAGAAATAAAAAATGTCATTGTACCCTTATGAGGGTAAAATGAAATTATTCTTTCAGTCTTAAACATAAGACCTATTTTGTAGTGCAGATATGAGGGTAAAATGAAATTATTCCTTCAGTCATAAAAATAAGACCTATTTTGTAGTGTAAAATAAGTCTTATATTTAGGATTGGAGGGAGTAATTTGTTAAGCCAAAAGACCAAAATGACTTGCAAAAAGAAATTAGGGATATTAAAAGTTGTCTAGAGAAATGATAATTTTATGTTGTGAAAAGACGTGTATGTGTTGTAAATTTTATGTTGTGAAAATTCGTACCTATGCTGCAAATTCTAGCTGTAAATTGACACTTTGTTTAGTTTTTAGTAATTAATTTTTTTGCCAAAATATTTGGTAACTGATGTGCAACAAAGGATAATATATGATTAATAGTAGAAAACTATTGTTTTGCATCTTTCATGTGGGAAGGGAATATGTGAAGACCTCACTTATTGCCAATGGTGTAATGTCTTATAACCATATATGGAGCCAAAACATGTCAAATGGAATCATATTTCATGGCATTAGGCTTATAAAATCAAATCCTAAAAAATAACTTTCTTAGGTTACTATTCACTTAATAATCCTAGAATTTTAGCCAACTTTGAAAATTTATAATTAAATCTAAAACTTCAAGTTTTATTTGGAGCTCTTTCACTTTTTAATATAGGGAAAAATACTCACCGGTCCATCTTCTTTACCAATCCGGCTCCATATTTTGTGCCAAAAGTACAGTTCATATAGGTAAGTTTTTCAGTTTTTTACCATAACTTCAAAAACTTATAACTTTCTGTATATAGTTCCAAATTAAGTAGTTTACCATCCTATTTAAATATTGAAATGTGAACTTCAAGCTCACCAAATCTCATGCTAGATTTCATCATTTGGTCAGAAAAGTTATAGCCACAAAATTATGATTTTACAAGAATTATTAACCCCTTTTTAATGTTTTGTCTTGAAGAGTTAAAGCTATGATCATACAATTTACTAATTACCATTTATGGTATCACTTTTCAGGCATAATCATACTTCTCAAGGGATAGGAACATAGTCTCTTACAAATATCCATCATTGTCATACAAATGACATAACACTACTCAAAATTCATAATTACATCTCACTAAACATAACATAATAATCCGTATCAAAGTATAACATTTCATGTAAATTTTTCTCATGCCTCCACATTCTATCCTCTTGCCCTTGATGGACAAGCCCTTAATGGTTCACTGGATATAGAAAAGAATGAGATTCCAAAGAAATCCTAGTAATAAAGAATAATAATAATGGTGCTAACAATGCATATAACTTCATGCATTCCCTAACAAAATCATGCAATGAAAAGAGAGTACATAAACATACCATTCAATAACTCAACTATGCATATTGCCAAAGCATAAAATGCAAGGAGTTCAATGCATTACTGCCTAGCTAACTCAACCATATCATGGCATAAAAACACATAACAATAAGCCAATGCAAGTTAACATCAAAATTGTTAGTTCTTGCTATCTTGTTCAAACTCTTGCTTCTTGCTTTCTTTCCCCTAGCCTTGAAGCTCCTCTTTCCAATGGTTAACTCCTATTAATTACACAACAAGGCATTTTAAATTTCAACTAAAACAATATCAATGAATTGACTTGACATAAACCCTAATCCTTTTCTTTTACTTTAGGGTTTTTGTACCATCTTTATTAATATAACTTCCATATCCTTTTTTTAAAAATGATTTTTCATGTAGAATCCATCTTTAAGCTTAGATTCATCAAATTCCAACTCTTTCCCATGGATTTCATGTTGGCCGAGACATAGGGTTTTTGGGTTTAAAATTTTATTTTCAATTTTAATACTTCCAAACACATTTTCTCAACATAATCCTACGCAATTTCATCCCCTAAACTCATTAGCAGCATCAAACTAACATGAATCAAACCCTAGCCTCATGACCCATGCTTGGCCAAAACACATATCCAATGGTAACGAGTTGAAATTCTTTCCTAAACTAAGTTGTAACACAAGTTTTCAACCTTTTTCTATCCTTTAACTCCTAAGTTGTCTCCTAATCATTCATATCAAGTTATATGACATCTTGGACAGCATATTATATTAGGATCTTTGGCCATCAAACTCCACCAAAATTAAATCCAAATCAATCACTAATTAAGGCAATTAAACCCTTAATGAAAGTCTTAACTTACTTTAGATGATTGTTTAAGTTTGGCCAAGTTCTCTTGTACTTCCTCTTCTTCCTTTTATCTCTTGTTTTTCTTAGTTTCAAGAGCAAAACCTTCCCTCCCTTGGTTTCTCTATTTTTGGCTGAATTATGTGTTGTTTGGGGGGTATTTGTAAACTCAATTTTTGCCATGGTTTTCCTTCTTTTGTGCTTGGAAAATATTAAAATTCCATGCCTTGCTTGGCTCTTGATCATGTCTTCTTTTTTAAGATGAAGCCAAGTGTCCTCTTATATCTCAAGAGCTTGCCAAATGTCTTCTTATGTGTCATCTTTACAAATTAAACATGTGATTAAAACTGATATAAAATTATAATTCAACCTCTTCCAATTATACCCCTTGACAAATGGCATAATTTCAACCTTGTCCTCCTCTCATAAAATGGTGCCAAAAATTGCAAAAAATGAGGAGAAAAAGTTGTCCCACAAAGCTTTAAGTTATTCTACTGTATAATTCTACTATATTAGTTAAATTTTTTCTGGATCCTGTCCGATCTAGTGACTCCAAAAATTGATTTCTCTACACCAATAGTTCCCTTTTATTGAGGAGAAGTTCACTAATTTTCTTAGATCAAAATTCAACCTGTAACTCCTTCCATTTAGATGTTCCCGGAAATCAGTCTTTTTTAACATAATTCAACTTTAAATATTTTTAAAGCTAATCTTTATGCTTCCAAAGGTTGTGAATAATTTTACAATCTATCATAAACTCTCAACTAATCTTTCCTTTTTTTTTTTTTGAATAATTGTGGCCTCTGTACATTTAAAATAATTCACTTTGGCCAATTTTTCCTTAATTAGCCAAAAATAAAATTCTCTAATAAATTATTTTTATCTTGTTTCCATCTTTTAGATCTCAAAAACTATTCCACATACTTTATTCTATTTTTTATGAATTTTTAGGAATTTTTAGAAATTTCAGGCATGGTTTTCAATACCTGTAACTGTAAAAATTTATTTATCTGCACTGATAATTTTTTTATTGAGGAGAATTTCACTAATTTTTTTAGTTCAAAATTCTACCTGTAACTTCTTTTATTCAGATTTTCCCGAAATCAATCTTTTATCAGCATAATTCAGCTTTAAATATTTTTAAAGCTACCCTCTACACTTTCAGAGGTTAGGAATATTTTTACAATCTATTATAAACTCTTAACTAATTTTTTTCTCATTTTTTCTGAATAATTGAGGCTTGTGTACATTTAAAATAATTCACTTTGACTACTTTTTCCTTAATTAGCCAAAAATACCTCTAACTATAGAAAATCCTCTAACAAGTTATTTTTATCTTGTTTTTACCTTTTAGGTGTCAAATAATATTTTAGACACTTTATTCTATTTTTTATGGATTTTCAAAAATTTTTAGGAATTTCGGACATAGTTTTTAATACTGTTCTTCCTTGATAAGAACTTTTCAAAATGATGGTCCGTTCTCTGCCTGGGTTTCACTTCACACTCAAAAGTTTTTTCATCTTTGCCTCTATTATTTTATCTGGCTCTCAGTCAGTTTTAAATTGTTAGTGGTAGTCTCACCCAAGAGAGGGGTTGTTAGGATTATGGTTTTGATGATAACAAAGTTAGATTAAATTGGTTAAGTGTGTTGATCGATCATCTGATCGATCAAATGATTATCGATAAGCTGTCAGATAACTGTTTAGTATAAATCAGTTTAACGTTAAGTATTTTAATCGATGAGCTGTTCGATAATTCATTGATTGATAAAATGATCGATTATCGCTAACGTAAAAGTCATATAAGGTAACTGTCGATTATCGATAGATTAATCGATAATCCAAGATGATCGAACAAGTGACAGATAAAAAGAAGTGAATCTGAACTGATCTTATTGATCAAGTGATCGATAAATGAGTTATCAATAACGACATCGATAAATGGTAAGACACTCTACCTGTTTGATTATTGATTCTGTCATTGTTTATCGATCACATTATCAATCATTTTTTTATTGATA